GTACTTGGTGACGAACGGGTAATCTGCATCCTGAGGTTTAAAACTTTGTAAGCACATAATATATGCGAATGTATAGTTTTTAATCCTCGGGATACAGATTACCTCTTCCTTACTCGGAGTACAAGATAACACCTAACCCAACTTAGGTTTAACTTGTTTGAAGATAGAAGACACTATCACATTAGCTCCATTGAAATTGGTTAGTTCAAAGATAATCCACTTTCTTTCCATTTGACTAGTTTTCTCTAATTTATTAAATAGCGGATTGATTTTTTTGTTTTCGGGTTAAATGGAGATGACTCGTCGAGTGCGATAAGAAGATTCAAAGCCAACGAGAGAGACGAGTGTTGGTTGACTCTAGCTTGCTTCGGAGGATCTGGTTATCTTATCTTATGAGTTTATAGATGTTGGCTGGTTTCGATATGGCTAGATGGAGGCATGGAGCCACGGATGCGAATGATATAAAAATTCCGTAGTGTCTAGTTTAAGTCACCTAATTATCAAGACTTACTACAACTTCAAAAAATTTAAAGAATTTTCGAGATACTAAGAGAACATTTTAGTAAACAGAAAGCTTTAAAACTAATGCTTTGGTGCTTCCTTCTAACTTGAATTCTGAATAATAACGAGCAAAATCAATTGTGTCGACTTCAACGTACACAATGATCAAACTGTCAAATCGTCAAATGTATGGTTTTGATTATGCACAATACCATATTCACCTATATTGGTACATTTTTAACATCAAAATTGATTGATATGGTATGATTGGAGAGGTATCTTTGTACGGTAAATGTATATAAGTAATCTGGCTTTTTTTTCCATTTATTTTCCACAGGTAATGTATTTATTAAAAATGACGAATATATTCATCAATCATTTGGTCCAGTCACACGAAGTGGGATATGATTTGATAGATAGTCTATCTATATATGATTTTATGCCAGTAATATTATTATTTAGATCCCTATCTATATATTGAACGTGAAGGTTAGATATAACCTTTCCCATTTTATCCAACCATTTTACAAACAATAGAATCTTAACCCTTTTTAAATGTCAGAGCCGTGCCTAGAGTTTATAATGCCATAAGCGAGATAAAAGTGTATGTAGTTTAATGTTTCAGAGCAACAAAATAAATGAAACAATTTTTTGATAAAATATCACCCAAAAAGCATAAATTATTATGTGATAACAATAGAAAATTTGATATAAGAATATAATATACAAAATATCTTATTTTATATAAAATTATGTATC